CGAAGCAATGAAATCGTACACAGCATGAAACGATTCCCTTGCTATTTGGACGCATTCATGTTCAATGGCTTCTCTAAATTCAATTATTCAACATATAGTCAAAATTCAGTGAAAAAAATCAATAAAATGATACTTGTAAATCTTTTGGCATTTTTAAAATAATAAAATTATAATAAGCATCAAGTTTACAATTAGTTAAAATGTGTATACATTTTTTGGGACACCCTGTATATTACATTATCCTGACATCATAGGACACGGCCAACGTAAGCAAACAGTTTCCTTCGTATGCTACTTTGTACGTGGAAATTCCTCATCGAAAACTCATCCTTTTTGAGTCTAGCTCGTTGTGTTAAAACAGTAGTGATCTGTTTGCTTTTGGCGATCCGCTCGAAGTTGTCAAAACCCTGTTTATTCTAAGAGAACGTCATTTCGTACTCAGGCGAAGATCAGGCTGCGCTTCGATTTTTTCCATTATCGCAACATCTGACAGAAGTGTAACCACAAGAACCTCCCAGAAGCGCCTCTACCATTTTAATTATCTACTTTTTATCCAAGCTTGGTTTAGAAATTATCACCAGCCTCCCATCGTAGTGCACTTCACAAGGCCTTCTTTTTGGCTCTAGATAATCAAGGTTATGGTGCATCTTTGTGACTCAGCCGGCGTCACATTACCTGTGAGGCCATCCTTTTACCAATCTAGTTTGAACAACTTTTACCCTTAAAGTCATCTGTGTTCACAGGTGTAGTCACAATCATGTTCAAGTTTTTGAAAGGATCTAAGTACCAACGCGGACTGTGTGTACTTCGGAGGATCCGATACATATTAGTTTTAATTTTACTGTGGTCGCAAGCACCAACGATTCCGTGTTCTGACGGTGTAACATTCCCAGCATCTACCTAATTTCCCGTATAGTTTGTGCACGCTCATCTGTGTAGGACATTTATTACGTAACGCTGCCTCGACTGTACGTTTGTGGCTAGCATATTTCTGTATGCATCGCACGCAAATTCCACCCCTCCCCCTGTTGTTTTGGAGTTACTGGTCCGCTTTATCCTACTTTATATTGCCCACATATTTTTATTTTCAGTTTCACAAATAATTCAACATGTTCTTCGAGTTGGTGTTGGCGCTCATTGGCCTGTACATGATCCTGTCTTTCGTTCTCCTGCGATACCCACAACTTCTGCATAAGCGGCGAACTCCGGCATTTAAGGCCGCTATGATTTGTCATCGTGGAGGTGAGTGCAGGCCTATCACACGTTTCCAATACATCTTAATTTTAGGCTCCGGGGAATTCTTGGAGAACACTATGGATGCATTTTCTGGGTAAGTTATTTCTTCGCCTCTACCTCTTACCTCACCTTACAGATGTGTGGAACTGGGCTGTGATCTTATTGAGCTCGATTGTCAGCTGACTAAAGACGAGCAGGTTGTTGTCAGCCATGACAACGATCTTTCCCGGGGGACAGGCCAAAAGGTCTGCGTCTCTGATCTCGACTTCAAGGACCTCCCCGAGTACTCGGCCTCCGTGAAAGTGCAGTTTGGCTTTGGTGGGTAGTGATTGGATGCTGATAAATAATTATCTTCTTAGTGCTCATTTTGCATATGCCTCGCACTTGTTGTTGTAAGCCAACCTCACCAAGGCTCCCGCGAGTCTTGCATTTATTTTCAACTATCGCTGCGGCCTATTGGAGCTGGCAGTTAAGGAAGTCAGAATTTGGTTATTTTTACACTTAAAGGTGAAGAACATCGCGTGAAACCAGGTGCCTCTCGTCGTATACCTATGCTGAGGAGCGTTTTCGAGGCCTTTCCAACAGTGCCAATCAATATTGACGTTAAGGTGGACAATGATCTCTTAATCCGCAAGGTACTTCCTTTTTTACCGGCTTTGCTTGTTGCACATAATCCTTTTACGTCACTCAATGACCGCTGTCAATCACAACGGCCTTCAAAACTGGAGCTTAGTGGGTGATTAAGTTGGTCAGTTGGCTGTCTGATGAAGGCGAACTGAATTGGGCTAGCTTCGTGCATTAGACACTATCCGTCTAGAATACTCTAATCCTCAGGACATATTGCCTGAGTGTATCATCACCTCTGTTATGATTAAATAACGTGTTCTTTCGCTTTTTCACA